AATCACGTCATCAAAATTGAGTAAATTGTTAAAATGCTTTTTTGAAAATGACCCAACAACATTATCAATATGAAAATTTAGATATACCTAAATACAATTTTTGTGATATTTCAAATTGTAGGGGGGAAGGCCTGAATTTAGATACTTAGATAAATTTAGCTTAATCCCAGGGTTTATGGATTTCACAATTAAATATTTACATTTCCAATTAATTTCCACTATGATTCTTTACAAAATAAAATGCAATATATTTTCTCATGAACTACATTAGGTATGTATCACGAAAAAGCATGAATATCTCTATTGTTACGTCATAATACCGCTCTTGACGTCAAAAAGTCAAAAATAAAGTGCACAATGTTTTGTTTTGACAATGACAGTTGAAAGGCGTAAATTTATAGCAAGACATCAGAAAAGTAATGTAAATATAAGAAATGAATTAATTTTTTTTTAAAGATTCATGAGGTATATGAACTACAACGCTTCACGCCGGCATATTTATCATGAAGCGCCAACGCGCTTCATGAAATATGCCAGCGTGAAGCGTCGTAGTCTCATGAATCTTCAAAAAATTAATTCATTTCTTAAATAAATCAAAAGGCCACACAATCTTTGATTTTAAAACAAACAAATATTGAACTTTTTCTTAATTATGTGAGTTGAAAAATATTTAACTATTTGAAAAAGTATACAAAATCCTTTAATTTAGGCAAATCTGTTTAGATTTTATGGAAAAGGTTGATATGTGTCCTTAAATACAAAAGTCTCCAATGAAGGTGAAAAGAAAAAATATATATATTTATTTATTTGTTTTCTGTTTATCTCTATATAATATTGTTGAATGTTTTATGATAAAGTGGGGGTCCCTAGAGAAGTACTAGAGTGGGACCAGGAGGCCAGAGAGCGGTATGTGGAGTACGCTAAGAGAGGAACACAGACAGTCCACCATGCCCGGGGGATGATTGTAGGATGTGCTGGGGCGGGCAAAACCACGCTACTTAAACGTCTGCAAGGTTGTAGTAAAGAAGAGATTGATAATGTAAAATCTACTGAGGGATTGGAGGTGCATGAGGAAATATTTGATTTATGTTATAAAACACAATCATTAAAAGGTAAAGTTGAAAAGTTAATCACCCTGCTTATTTTGTTTTATCATAGTCTTTCGATTAAAGAAAATACATAGGCTTATTTTCTTCTCTAGTCTCTAATAATGAGCACTTTTTTGCACAGCGTTCATTTTGTATTCATAGTATTGTTGAAACATCATACAAAGTTGCGTTATTACGTATTGAATACTGACCATTATGCAGCCAAGCAGCTTTTTTTTTTTAAAGAAAGGGGGGGGGGGGCAGCCTAAGAAAAAAATGGATTTACCCGAAAAAGTGGCTAGCAAAAAATGGAATATTGGCCAAACTCAAAAATCTTATTTCAAGGGGTTGTGGTAGGGGTGGGGCTGGGTTTGGGGTGGGGTATTGGGATGTTGAGGCCAATTTTTTTTAATACCAACTTCTTTCAGTACCAATTTTTTTGCATTCAATACTACATTTCTCCGATATCAATTTCCTGTTTTAAAAGCTGAGGGGGGAAGGGGGAGGGGGCAGCCTTTCCAAAAGTAAAAGTAATAATGTGGGAATAATTTGGGGAAGCTCCTTCCACCACCAACCCCAAACCCCCAACCCCCAACCCCCAACTGTCGGGCCTCCTGTTGCTACGTACTTGTTATGAGTAAATATGGTAAAATTGTTTGTCGGCAATTTCTATCACCACTAAGCAAACATTTTATCTACCTAAACCTAAACATTCCATCAAGTTTCCATTCCACGGAAACCACTAAGCTCCGATTCCATACGGATTCCTGGGTCACCAAAACTTAACCCTTTCGACGCCAAAGCGACAAAAATGTCGTTTACTGTGTCAACGCCAAACCGACAAAAATGTCGCTTTGTAATACATGTTTAACTTTTTTTGTTTATTTATCATTTATCTCAGTTTAAATTGAATACAGTAATATCTAAATTTTGACACAAGTATGGACCTTTATTTTTAAATTGGTACTGGTCTAAATATGACGTCATATTTCTTATTATTGACGTTAAATTATGACACTAGCGGTGTAAAATTTGGCGCGTCATATCGTGTTTTTTTTAATGATCCATTTACTCAGTAGTCCTCAGACAGTTTACACTTATTTACCCCTGGCGATACTTACATGCATATAGATATTTTATCGATCGATCGATCGATCGAGATCTGTGAATATACATATAGTCTTTATAAAATGTATTTATCATTCAAAAAATATGATATTGAAATTAACAATTTAACATCTAAAAACAGTAGTCACTGATATTACTGTTGAAATCTTACGATAAAATGTCAATTTGAGCTCGTATTGAAATTGCAACAATTTTTTTAAAAATAAAATACAGTCTATTCATTTATTTATTTATTTATTCATTTATTTGTTTTTGAGCATTATCCCGACAATGATTTTATGCTTCGAATAAACAACAATGGACTAAGCTGAAAAGACAATATGATCTACATTTACATGTATTTATAAACCACAGGCGCTTTCGATGTTCTTATAGAAGATTAATTAATATTGATGTGGTGAAATCTTTTGAGAATGAATTAATGATAGCTGAAAAAATACTAAAATACTATCACTTGTAATTGTAGGCGTTAGAAATGCCATTCAAGAAATTAGAGCCTAAATTAAACTTGATTGGCTTTCAGCTTCCAGCTTCCTACATGTACCGATTAACTGAAATTAAACCCCCCCCCCCCCCCCCCACACACACACACATACACAAAGAAATCACCATATTATTTTCTTTTTTAAGTTTCAAGCTCTGAGGCCTGGGATATTGAAACTATTTCATTTTATATTTTTGATTTTCGTTATCATCAATCAGGTGGAGCTATTAATTATGTATAATAAGCTTAGTTTTGATATGAAATAAAATTCTGAAAAGTAGTCTTTTTATAAAACATACATGTCGAGCTATCCACTATTGGAAAAATGAAAAATAAAAGCAACCAGAGGCTATATCCGAGAGGAATAAAAAGATGCACTCTCCCGAACATTGAACTAAAAATTTCCCGACTCAAAACTTTGTTTTTTTTTATATTCCAGGACAAGATGTTTTGGGTCTTATCACAATGAAACATTATGTTAAAGTTGTTAAAAAAAATTAGTTGTGTATGATAAAAAATTGCCACTTTAACGGTGAAATCATGGATGACGAGTTTTAACTCTGTTCACTCAACACCCCGGCTATGTCTTAAGGTACATCGAATATCTTATAAGAGAGATAACTCTTAATGGCATAATGTCTATTACATATATTCCTTTATGAACTTTTTTTTGGAAAATCATTAAGGTTTAAGCATCATTCTATTTAAACGAGCAGAGGGCTTTCTGCAAGTTCCATATGGCTGCAAAAAAAAAACTCTATTTAGCGTTAGCGGACGACTCGGAATTAGTTTTTAGGTATGTTTTAAACACACCATGATACGGAAGCCCGTTGGTGCCACGTATGAAAATATTTTATCTGGCGGCCGCCACTTATTAATTGGCGTCCGCCACATAAATATCTGGCGGCCGCCACATATATATCTGGCGGCCGCTACTTATTATTTGGCGGCCGCCACTTATGTATCTGGCGGCCGCCACTTAATATCTGGCGGCTGCCACTTATATATATCTGGCGGCCGCCACATAAATTATTTTTCAAAAGGTGAGTGTTATTGGGGTAAAAAGATGGATGTTGACACAACCGCTGCTTATTGATAAAAAAGTAAATGAGAACTGAAATATTGGAACACCATTCTTGGAAATCCAAAATACAAAACTTCATTTAATTCTCAACCAATCATAGCTTACAGTAAACACCATGATTTATGTCCGTGACCCCTGATGAGGCTTCTTAATAATCGAAACACCCTACAAATACTTGCATAATTCAAATCAAATATTAATCGGCTCTATGCAAAAACATATCTATTAGAAGTGTGGATTGGAGTGTTGGTTCATAATAATTCTATTACAAGTTTGGTTGTGTTGCTATAATAATTTTTACACTGTATCCACCTCTTAAACCACACATTAAAACATGCGCGCGATTCAGGAAGCCAGGTGTTATCTGGCTGCCACCATATAAATTATGTGGCGGCCGCCAAATATTATGTAGCGGTCTCTAGATATATAAGTGGCGGCCGCCAGATAAATATATGGCGACCGCCAAATAATAAGTGGCGGCCGCCAAATATCATGTAGCAGCCGCCAGAAAAATATGTGGCGGCCGCCAGATATTATATAGCGGCCGCCAGAAAAACTATGTGGCGGCCGCCATATATTAAGTGGCGGCCGCCAGATATATAAGTGGCGGCCGCCAAATAATAAGTGGCGACCGCCAAATAATTATGTGGCGGCCGCCAGATATACAAGTGGCGGCCGCAAAATAATAAGTGGCGGCCGCCAGATAAAATGTTTTTCGTACGTGGCACCAATGGGCTTCCGTAGCTTGTCAACTTTTTCTGTAAGTAAAAAAAAATCTGTGCCCCCCCCCCCCCTCAACATTCAAATTATTCGATGCTACTTGCCTGTTACAAGTCATGTTCTATAACTTCGAGATTCCGAGAAAGGGGTCTGAAATGGGGTGAGGGGAAGGATTGAGTTCCTGTCTCTTTACGTCTTAATGGTTGAAAACTCCTAAAATGAATGTTGACCTCAAATCCGACTTGTCCTCATTATTTTTCAAGTGGGGGTGTCTCCATTTGAGTGAAAAATTCCTGAGAGGGATGTTTAACAACAAACAAACAATTAAATGACATAAAAACACAATATTGATTTGCGTGAAGAAATATGCAGGGGATTTTTTCCATCATAAATTTTCTTCTCAAGAACAGCAAGGGCATTATTGTCCCCCGTTTCGGGGAAAGGGAGGGAACATTAAATCTTATTTGTCTGTCAGTCTGGCCATCTTTGACAGTATGTGCATCTGTCACAATAAATTTAACCTTGATCATAACTTTTGAATAATATGAGATAGGGCTTTCATATTTCACATGTACATTACCACAAAACTTCCTAAATGTACTATGATTTTTTAACTTAAGTGAGACCTTGACCTAAAAATTTTACCTACTTTCCAAAAAATAACATTTTAAATTAATCATTTTGAAAGAGAAAAGATATGGCATTTAAATTATACATGTATATTACATGTGAAAAGACTTTTCTAAATATATCATGACTTTTGACTTTCTGATCTTGACCTAGAAGTTTAACCTACTTTTCAAAAATATTATATTATATATATATATATATATATATATATATATATATATATATATATATATATATATATATATATATATATATATAAACTTTTGATTGAAAAGAGATGGGTCTTTCATATTTGACATGTACTTTACCTGCAACAAAATATTTCGAGCATGCGATGATTTCCCCCCTTTGACCTAATTTTCATAAAGTGACATATGATAGGGATGCATATTTGATACTCAATCTGCCATAAATTATGGCATCCCATTCAATTAAACACAGAAAGCAAAGGACCACAATTCTTTGAATTTGCATGTATAATCTTGATATGGAAACATCCTCATATAATGTATATTCAAGTTTTTTATGCTACGCCATGATTAGGAATACATGTATTAGTTTTTGTCATGTCCGTCCTCCACCCTTCCATTTGTCTTTCCATCAAGCTCAAAGAAATTACTTTCTAGATATTTTATCAAAGTTCATATGCTGATGTATATACTGATGTAAACTATCCAACTGTGGCAATATTTTTTATGCGCCCGGATCGATAGATCCCGGGCATATATTGTTTTTGTCCTGTCTGTTTGTCTGTTTGTTTATCTGTTTGTCTGTTTGTCTGTTTGTCAACTTTAACCTTGGCCATAACTTTTGAACAATAGGAGATAGAGACTTCATAATTGGTATGCATGTACTCCACTATTAAAGTCCTTTCAAATGAAATCAAGGTCAATGACCTTGTGACCTTGACTGTGACCTATATGCTAAAAATAGCTTTTTCTACTGTTTGTCATAACTTTTTAACCATAGGAGATAGGG